GGCAGGTGAAACCTTGGGTAGAAGAGTCTGCCCTCCCGGGACAAGGCCCGGGCGTGACCAGGCGTGATGGGGAGACAGCGAGGCCCAGGCTGGGCTGGTGGCCGCCACGAATGGATTTCACCAGGGACGAGGGGACTACTTTCCTGGGGGACTCCTTTTCCTGAGGGGAGGCTGGTGACTCCGATGACCCAGGAGGGGCCAGACCATGTGTCAGGAACACGATTAGCCAGTGTCTGGGTGCCCAGACCACAAACCCTCGGACTGGACCCAGATGGGGGTGAGGCAGGAGCGGCTGAGGACTGAGGGTTGGGGAGGGGCAGAGTTCTTGGCGGCAGGGGATCTGCGTGGAGAAGCTCCCCTGGCTGAGCAGCTAGCAATGGCCACCTGAGGGGCCCACGGCAGCCACCTGTGGTGTTCCGTGGGCAGGTCTGACAACAAGGGAGGCCTTTCCCCGGTGGGAGCCCAGGTCCTCCACTCCCCCACTGTCCACGAACCCCAGCCGGAGACGTGAAGGAAGCCTCCGTGTGTTGGCCACTGTGCCCAGCGCCCTCCACACACCAGCTCCCCAAACCCTTCCATCACTGGAGACCCTCAGTCTCTGAGGTGACAGGGCCGGGATGTGAACTCCCACTCCATGCCTAGCTCTGCGTTCCCAGGGCTCCCAGGCCCAGGCCACTCAGGAGGTGGAATGGAGCGGAGCGGGCTCAAGAAGGGGGCCGGGTGGGCTGGAGAGGGCGCCTGGGCTGGGGCTGGGAGACACACCTGGAAACGAGGAAGGGGCTAAGTGTGCCTTCCAGGAAAAGAGCTCCACAGAGTTCCAGGTGAGACCTGGACCAGTCTCACCTCTGCCAGGGCAAGTGGCCATCCCCTGACCAGAGCCGGGGCTGCAGGGCCAGATGTGGCCCAGGAAGAAGCCACCGTGAGCTACGTCCTGTCCAGGCACTGGCCTGGGAGGAGAGGACTCCAGCCAGGGAAGCAGTCTGTCTGTCTCTCTGGCCCTCCACCTCCGCCCACCACCTGGGGGACGCCTAAGTGGCGGGGCTGGAGGGACTGGTCCTCTGGGGCGGGATCTGGATGTGAGCGCCTGGCGGGCGCTGTTGGGGCGCTGTCGGGGAGGCGGGGCACTATCGGGGCACTGTCGGGGAGCTGTCGGGGCGACGGGGCGCTGTCGGGGAGGCGGGGCACTGTCGGGGCACTGTCGGG